ATAATTTTTATATTTTTTAATCACTTAATACAAATTCGTAAATTCCGTAAATTCAAGAAAAAAGTTATTAATTGTCAATTTTTAATGATACGTAAAAAATCGTTACAAAAAATTATTGTTAACGACGATTTTATTAAAATTTATTTTCAATAAAATTGTATAGGAATTAAATCCCACTATTATGATTTATTAATAATTTACTCCTAAATTATCCCATCAGTTTGATTTCAAATTATTAAGTGGGTGTCAGTGTAATTTACTATTTTCTCATTTGTATATACGGCCTATTTAAAAAGTATATTAAAAATTAATTTTTTAATTTTTTTTAATTATTTTGAAAAAAATATGAAAAAAATAAAAATAAAGAAAAAAAATGATTTAAAAAAATAAAAAAACTACTATTTTGGGAAGTGGGTTATAATCTACTTCCCAAATTATAACCCACTTCATCTCTCACAAAAAAACTACTTATAAGTAGCTTTTCATTAAAAAGCTGATTATAACCATCTTCTCAAGTAACTTTTAACCAACTTTCGAAATAGGTATATATATAACAGTTTTCATTGGTTAATATTAGAATAAATTATAAATATAATCTTGAGATTTGATTAAAATACGAATCGTTCCTGTAGTTTTGAAAATTACATTCCACCTCCTGAGATTTCTAATTTCACTACAAATCGCTCTTTATTAATAAACCATCAAGTCAATTAACAGTTTTTAATGATATTAAAAATATGTTTCAATTAATAATTTAGGTAATTTTATTATTGTATAGGAGAGTAATTAAGAATTTCATTTATTTAGTTAATTCTATTAAATAAAAATACATAATAATGATGTATTTATAATTTTCCAAACTATAGAGGACAATCTATACTTTAAACAAATCTCATGGAGTGTATTTGTAATTTATTCTTAATATTAATAGACGCGGCCCGTCACTTTCTAATAATTTTCTCATTTCAAATAAGATGTACAAAAGATATTGATTGATTGATAATACTATCTTCTTTTTGGGTAATGTTTTTAAGCTTTCGTTTGGCATAAGCTAAAATGAGATTTTTTTGGGTTAAAATAGTCACAAAAATACAAAATAAACTTTTAGTTCAATAAGACAAAATATCACATCCAAATCATAATTATTTTATTTTTTCTCTTACAAAAGTAAAAAAAAAAAAAAAACAAAAACCTATCTTAAACGAGACTTTTTAGCCCAGGCAGGCCTCATTTGGGAACATACTATTTTAGTAACTTTTTAGCTTTTTGCTAAAACATGAGGTTAAAAAAACTTGTATATTTGGAATGACTTTTTGATTTTTTACGAAAAGATGTGCAAAAAATAAAGAGAAAATAAATCTTTGACTTTTTGGTATAAGTTATAGGTTTTTTGATTTTTTGATAACTTTTTGATTTTTAAGTTAAAACAAGCATATGCCAAATGGGGCCTAAAATAATTAAAAAGTTAAATAGTCAAAAAGTCAACTTATATCCCAAACGAATCCTAAAATAAGTTATGTACATACAATTTTCATTGGATACCACTGGCAATTAATATTAATAGACTAGGCCCTCACTTTCTGATAATTTTTTCATTTCAAATCAAATGTACAAAAGACATTAATTGATTGATAGTACTATCTTTGTTTTTGGGTAATGTTATGAAAAAAAGAAAATATTTGGAATTTTAAAAAAGGAGTTCTAAGTGGTCCTATCTAATGTGATATTTGGTTTAATTTTAATTTTATTTTTATTTTTTAAAAAATTTTCACATCACTAGAACTCAATTAGAGCTCTAATTTTAGAGGGATGAATCACTACTGATGAAAAAATTAAGGACAAATTACATTGACGGTCATTATAATTTGAAATTTGTATCACTTTAATTCATTTATTTTTTAATTGTAATACTTGACCTTAATTTTAAATATCGTTCCAAATAAATATAATTAAAGACATTGTTATTCCATTTCATGGGCAAAATTATCAATTTGACAAAAATATAAACTAGTTTGACAAAAATATATATCAAAAATTTATTTTTAAAATTTTAAAAATTATTGTACTCACCAAATATAAAGTTATATAAAAATGATATTTTTTTTACAGTCGTACTAGGAGCTCAAAAGCCCCCCTCGAATCCCCCGAATTCAAAAAAGGAAGGAAGAAGAAGAGAAGGAAAAGAAGAAGAAAAGAAGGACTGGACTGGAGGGCCAACATCAACCGGGCTGGGCAGGGGGCGTAGGCAGAGGCGGAGGCGTGGCGGAGACGATCGGCCGACGAGTTGCGAGCTGCGACGATCGGTCGCCGATCGGACTGGACTGGAGTGCTGCGACAATCGGCCTCTCTTCTCTCCTCTCCTCTCTGTAGACACCCCATTTTGACCATCTCTCTGTATATTTGGGATAACTTTTTGACTTTTTACGAAAAGATGTGCAAAAAGTAGAGAGAAAAGAGAATCTTTGACTTTTTTGGTATGGGTTGTAGGCTTTTTGGCTAATTTAGTAATCTTTAAAAAAAAAAAGTAAAAAAAAAAGTTCCCAAATCACTCTATAGATATGACAATGAAAAGAAAATTGAATTTTATTGTACTATTAATCTTTTTTTAATCAGCAAAAGGAAAGCAACTTTACTGATGTAAAATAGTGGGGTATTTTAAAAAGTATATTAAAAATTAATTTTTTAATTTTTTTTAATTATTTTGAAAAAAATATGAAAAAAATAAAAATAAAGAAAAAAAATGATTTAAAAAAATAAAAAAACTACTATTTTGGGAAGTGGGTTATAATCTACTTCCCAAATTATAACCCACTTCATCTCTCACAAAAAAACTACTTATAAGTAGCTTTTCATTAAAAAGCTGATTATAACCATCTTCTCAAGTAACTTTTAACCAACTTTCGAAATAGGTTATATATATACAGTTTTCATTGGTTAATATTAGAATAAATTATAAATATAATCTTGAGATTTGATTAAAATACGAATCGTTCCTGTAGTTTTGAAAATTACATTCCACCTCCTGAGATTTCTAATTTCACTACAAATCGCTCTTTTATTAATAAACCATCAAGTCAATTAACAGTTTTTAATGATATTAAAAATATGTTTCAATTAATAATTTAGGTAATTTTATTATTGTATAGGAGAGTAATTAAGAATTTCATTTATTTAGTTAATTCTATTAAATAAAAAATACTAATAATGATGTATTTATAATTTTCCAAACTATAGAGGACAATCTATACTTTAAACAAATCTCATGGAGTGTATTTGTAATTTATTCTTAATATTAATAGACGCGGCCCGTCACTTTCTAATAATTTTCTCATTTCAAATAAGATGTACAAAAGATATTGATTGATTGATAATACTATCTTCTTTTTGGGTAATGTTTTTAAGCTTTCGTTTGGCATAAGCTAAAATGAGATTTTTTTGGGTTAAAATAGTCACAAAAATACAAAATAAACTTTTTAGTTCAATAAGACAAAATATCACATCCAAATCATAATTATTTTATTTTTTCTCTTACAAAAGTAAAAAAAAAAAAAAAACAAAAACCTATCTTAAACGAGACTTTTTAGCCCCAGGCAGGCCTCATTTGGGAACATACTATTTTAGTAACTTTTTAGCTTTTTGCTAAAACATGAGGTTAAAAAAACTTGTATATTTGGAATGACTTTTTGATTTTTTACGAAAAGATGT